GTGGTCCACCTACTGGTTAATTCTGCAGCCAGCCATTTCTCATCTCAGTGCAGTTACTCACTCTATCAATAGCTGCTCCTTTCTCACTGCGGGCAGCAGAGGGTTCTGTGCAGGTTCAAAATTCATCTGTAATAAAAGTAGATCTAACATCATGACTTTCTAGTTCCCAATCCTAGTTAGGGCCACACAAAAATTGTCCAAATAACTCATCACAGCTTACACTAACTCACATAATGTTATCTCTCTGATTTTGAAAAACATGTACTCCAATTATTGAATGTGACCCGAAGCATTAACAAGGTCAAAAATGAAATCCCCCTTTTTCATTAAATACAAAGAAAGCAAAGACTAATAATCTCCAATCACAATTTGGTATGAAACAAGAATGTTTTTGCCTGGTGGGTGGCATGTCTTTTCTGGAAACCAACTGTATGAGCTAAGACCATGGTCCCCTAAGTGAGCTGTGATGACTGCTGTCTCTACTCTTGGACCACATTTCCCATGATCCTCTTCCTCCTGTTGTCCTGGGGAAAAGTGTGCTGATGAAAGGAGCCTGTGTGAGCCTGACAGGCAGAAGTGTTGGAGTAGTCATTATTCGTTACTTACTGAAGTGGTCAGCATGTGGCACCACAGTCCTCACCATGAGCTCCCTGTTGCCCTACCCTTTTGGAGCCTCTTGGTCAGTTCCAGCTTCTTCACTTGTGCCAGAGTCCAGGTTGGCGTCCTTGCAGTCTGTGGTGGGTCCTCCAGCCATAACTTCACAGGACATCACGTCACCAGTTCATTCCACAATGGGCTAAGCCCTAATTTCCATGTTAAATCTCTCATTCCCGTGATCCCTTTAGTGGCTCTGATGATAGCAGCTCCTAGACTTTGAATCTCATCCAATGGGATGATTCAGTGTCTTCCAGCAAAAGGTTGGTGCATTCTCTCTGTATCAATACGTATTTAGTGACCAGCACCAAAATCCACTTCTGGTATTTCATGGACACTCAGTTAACTGTGTCACTCAACCTCTGCCATAGCTAGGAGGGATGAAGGGACTAATCAGGCTCTGGGCAATGGAATGAGACTGGAAGGATGTGTGCTGTAGCCCACGCGTAGCTCATGTAGCTCCTTCATGAGCCCTTTCCTCTATCGGCTCATGCGGATGATTCACCAAGGTGAACCTGAGAAGCATGTGGCACCTGATGTTGAATGAACTTTAGTGTAAGTCATCTTTACTTAGGCCACAAACTCAGCTCAGATGAGGCATCAGCCAAATTGCAACAAACATGCTACCTCTTATGTGGCATTCCAGTTCCCATGGTCATGTATTCAAGCTGTGAATCTGATGGAAGTTTAGTTCCTATGAAACCAGATGTCTCAAAAGCTTGAAAAGATAATTCTCCAAACACTGACGCATTTTGGCTTTAACGTGTAGATAAAAGGATTAACCACAGAAAACCCAGTCATTCACATGCATACTGGAGTGTAGGTCTTAGGAAGCTTGACAAGGGCACGGTAAATGAGATCATGCCTTTGAGGTACATCACTTAAAAATACTGTGCAGTTTGGGTGAACTCTCTGTGGGACAATCTTTTTAGTATATACCTGAAAGATACTGGGTATCTTTGGGGTAGAAATACTCCCACATGGCTCTATCAAGGTTTGGGCAACCAACCACAGACAACATTTCAGAAAATCAAACATGATCCAAGCCTGCAACATAAAACTGACCTCATCTCCTAGGATTAGAGCAAGTTTGTTGAATTTCTTGAAATTTTCCCCATAACATTACCTCTGTCCTTTGACAGCATCTAAGGCCTGTGACTATGTTGCCTAGAGCTCGTAGTTGTACATAATTTTTTTTACACACATTAGAAATCATCAGCCAGGGACAGGAATTTTGGCAGAGCAAGGTTAAGCCTTCCCTTGGAATGCCCTCATCCCATCCTAGAGGACCAGTTTGAGTCCCAGTTACTCTGCTTCTGATCCAACTTCCTGCTGATGCACCTGGAAAGCAGCAGATGATGGCTCAAGTATCTGAATTCCACGTGGGAGACTTAAATGGAGTTATTAGCTCCTGGCTTCATCTTGGCCCAGTTATGGCTGTTGTGGCCCTTTGGAGGAGTGAGCCGGTGGATAGTAAGACCTCCCGCTCACTGTCTTGCTTTCTCTGTCACTCTGCCTCCCCAATAAATCTTTAAAAAATTATGTAAGCCTATGGTGGATCCTGCTCCTTGGTTCACCTCTTTTCCAGATTTTTCCACACAGGAACTATCCCTTTCCTGCTCCACATAATCTAGTTGTTACTGTCAACCAAGAGACTCAGTCCTCCCGTTCACTTAAAGGAGGGGGCTGTGTCTCCTGAGACAGTGAACATAGGATTCTCTTTTCCATGAAGCCAACTCTGGGAAAAAGCAGGACCAAGAAATTATTGAGGGAGAAATAGATTCCTAAGGACAGCTGCTGAGCAACACTATGCTCTAACGCTTGAAACCCCCACAACCTTGAATTTGGACGCACTAGATAACGCATCTTCTAAAATTCAATGCAACTAGTCTTATGAGTTGGAGTTTGCAGTTCTAATCAATGTCCCATCCCCTTGTCATACCTCAGGATGTCAATGGGAATATTTTCTCATTGAACTTTCTGCTAAGGTTTCCAATGAGTTCCTCTTACTCAATATACTTCCAGCACAGCCATCAGAATCTTTCTCCTTCAGTCTACGCTTTGAAGCCAGTCTCACTTGCAGGTTGTAAAACAAATAGAGAAATTGGACAACATCTCCCAGGTCACTTATGCTCATGTACTTGATCTGGAAGACGGAGTTTGGGGTCCTGAGGAGCCGAACCACTCCTTAATAAGTGAAACTTTCTTTTTGACTAACATTTCTACACTCAATCCAACCGTTGGGAACTCATCAGGAAAGCTCTATTCATCACAATCCCATATTATCTCATTCATTGCAAGATGTCTTTGGGGATCAATTCCACTTCATCTCAAATGATTGCTTGTTTTAGGAATATATATATATATGCTGGTGTCATTTCAAGAGTTCTAATATTCCAAGTTTCAACAAAACTGGCTGTTTCTCCCTACAACACATTTATCTTTGGGTCTATAAATCTATTCTGGGAAAAAAAAAGAGAGGTTGATAAAATATTATCTCTTGGGTCCATTCTAGCCAATTGCCTGGATTAGTACACACACAGCTTTATTGGGACACACTTATAGCCATTCACTTGCATTGTCTATGGCTGCTTTTGTGGTCGCTACAGAGACCATTTGGGCACAAAGCACCTGATTTTTACTATAAGGATTTTACAGAATGTTTGCTGATACTTTCTCTACCTCAGTGCCTCCTCATTTCGGTATCCATACAGTATCTTGGGGCACAAAGGGTCACATATATCCACCAAACTTTTGAGGCTTACTGTGGGGATAAGTCTATGCTAGACTACTCAGACACAGCATATACTGGAAATACATTTCTCTCATAGCCCAATCTTCTTCTGAAAGCACTGGGGGAGGACTGCCTGTTCTAAGCCTTGTTCAGTAACTCTTTTTTTAAAAAAAAGTTAATTAATTTATTTTTAAAGATTTATTTATTTTTATTACAAAGTCAGATATACAGAGAAGAGGAGAGACAGAGAGAAGATCTGCCATCCGATGATTCACTCCCCTAGTGACCGCAATGGCTGGGGCTGTGCTGATCCAAAGCCAGGAGCCAGGAACTCCCCCTAGGTCTCCCACACAGGTGCAGGGTCCCAAAGCTTTGGGTCATCCTCAACTGCTTTCCCAGGCCACAAGCAGGGAGCTGAATGGGAAGTGAAGCAGGGCCGCTGGGATTAGAACCAGTGCCCATAAGGGATCCTGGCACGTTCAAGGCAAGGACTTTAATCACTATGCTATCATGCTAGGCCCCATTGGTTCTTATTCTTGGATCTTTACATGCTGGCTCAGGTTGGAGTTACTTTTACTACCCATGAGTGGTGATGGTGGTGACCTGCCAGGAAGCATTTACAACTGTCTCTGCTCACCTGTTCACATGAGGCTGCTGAAGAGCACAAAGATACTTCCATCACTGGGGAAGCCAATCTGAACTATGGGTAGTTTGAAACTAATGAGAAGCAAATCAGTGGAGCGATTGTGTATCTCAGAATATGTGGACAGCGTCTGTTAAGAGTCGCCAGAACCAGGTACCCTTTCATCCCAATGGTCTTCTTAGGGCTCATGACACTAACTGGTACCCACAATTCTACTCTATTCCAGTCATACCAGCTGTGGAATCTTTATGTGTCCATCACATTTTGGGGTTCTATCAATATGTTCCTTCCTTTTTCCATGGGATTATGGCATATACTAATTCCAGGAGCTATTACACAAGTGACTGTTCACTGTTTACATTGGTATGGGAGACAAAGGCAGACCAAGAAACTTTCACGCCAATAGAAAGTTTATTGGAAAGTATAAAAATTCAAAAAACAAAACAACCAGATCTATCAAAAAAAAAAAAAAACCAGGTAGTAACTGCACACAGCCCTTCCAGTTTACATTAACTTTGAACACCACACATTATGGATCAGCCACTTAGTTGCACCTTTTTTTTTTAAAAGTCAACTTCAGGATAGAGATATTTGAGTCACACAATAAGCTAGCAATCACAGTGAAGCTATTTCAATACTCAAATAAAACACTGACTTTGTTTGATAAAAGAGCAGAGACAACTTTCTAGTTGGCATAGTTTTAGGCAATGGATTAAAAAAACTCCAGGTTGTAGTGAGTTAAAAAATATTGCCGGTCATTTATTTGCTATCTTGAGTAGGGAGAGAAAGAAGAAAAACTATTAAAAACCCTGTAGCTTTGGTGTTCTATTTAAAGATATATACATGTTTTAAAAAATTTTATTTAAAAAAATCAAATCTGTAATAGAAATGTCTCCTGTGTTAGTTTCTAAAAACAACATGAACAGGCTCCCCTTATCTACTAAAACCATTTGTTTTTCCTAAGATGCCTGGAAGCAGAAAACTGGGTGAGATTAACTCACTGCACAATTAATTAAAATTAGAATCCTTTCCCTCTAAACCACTTCCAGAGCACCAGAAAGAAGCTGGGGCCCATCAAAGCGGGTGAAAGGTTCAGCCAGACTCGCCCTGGCTGACATCAAAGTTCTTTGTTTATTGGATTACTTAGAAAATAACTAGAGTGCTATTTAAAAATATAAGACACTAGCGCCAGGTTCCTTTCCTTTCAGCATAAAACACAAAACACAGCAAAAATGCCACGTGGCCAGCTTTCCTGGAGCACACTTTGGATCTGGTTCAAAAAGGAAAATTCTCCAGGACGAGGTCACTGAAGGCCACTTCCCAACCACTACTCTGCCGGGCTTTGCTGTGATGAGCATCCAACAGGTTGCTCTGAGTGGGTGGTGACAGCTGCCTGAAGTGGCTCCACCTGTTCCAGTTATGTCCCTCACTGGGCCGTGTGGCTTCTTGCCAAATAGTGCCTACCTTTTCAGCCATTATTCCCGAGAGGGCGGGCCCCATGGCTGCTGGCTGGGTGCAGAGAAAGAGGAACACTAGTGTGAACCAAGGGAGCAAAGCGTCCTCTTTGTGCGGCCTTCAAGACCTTGACAAAGAGTGACCTCAAAGTGCTACAGCACACAAGTTAGTTGGGGTGCCTTGTTACCATGGGGCCAGGGCCAGCTGGGCAGAGGTGTGATCTCTTTGTTTGGCCCTCACCAAAGGGAAAATAATAAAAAAACAAACAAATAAGAGATTGCTTTTCTATACACATATAAATAGTCCCTTAACTAGAAGGGAAAAAAAAAAACCAAACACACTGTTTCAAATGCATTTCTAAAAGATTAAAAAAAAAAAATCCAAATGGGAAATCTTGGCTCCAAAATGACTGTTGCCCGTGTGTCTCAGGAGAAACGACTGGGATGTTAGGAGAGGCCTGACCCTAACTCTAAGTCCAACCCTAACCCTGACTTGGGGTGTTGGTGCTGGGGCCTTGGGAAGAGGGGTGCGTGCGGTACAGGGAGCTCACATAGGACCACTGCTCACAGCTCAAGGTGTGTTAGAAACTGGCGTCCTTAAGTCCAGATGCATGTTAACGGGACGTAAGGAACCTAATGTAGAACAGCAAGCACAGGCTGTGTGTGCTTTCCAGGCAGGGCACAGATGGCCAGATTAGACTTTTGGCCCACTGAAGTCAGGGCTTCTCCCAGGGTCTGCAGGGGTTAGCTGGGAGAGTGGCAGTCCACAGCCTAGGAGGGAGTGCGGGGATGTTAGGCATCTGAGCACTTGGATAAACTCATGGCAGGCTTTCCTGGCCTGTTCTGGGAGGCAACTCTCAACACAAGTGTTCTTGGGAAAATTTCTGCAGCTGGGATCTCTGGAAGATGGATGGCTTCAGAATCCCCATCACAAAACCCAAACGATGCTGCAGATGGCTGAAGGCTGCTGTGTTTATGGAACGTCTTCTTTGGTCACTGCCAGTGCTGGATTGGGAGCAATGTGCACTCAGGTGGGACGCAGGTTTTCATACGCAGCTGCACTCTTTTCAGGGTTCATCAGGGTGTGCTGCCTGCAGGCTCCTGTGGCCCACATCCCAGAATGTGGCTATAAGGTAGCAGTCCAGACGAGCATCTGGGCCAGGGTGTTCTGCCTCTCTGAACACCTGACTTAGCACAGACACACAGCTTTCTCAAAGGCTATGTCCTTAAAGACCACTGCATCCTGCTGTCCACAGATACGCACGCAGTTCTTCCGCAGAGGAAGCCCAACAGTAACAGATGATGGGAAGAAGAGTGGCCTCATTGCAAAGAGGCACAACACATAGTATCAACCGAAAGGCCAGCAAAATGCCAGTCACTCTCCTAAGACCGTCCCTGAAATTTGGGGGTGAGAAGGGGAGGGGAATGGAAAGAGAGCTGACACTCCAAACTGCAGCTCGCCACACCCGCAGGGTGCTTAGAGAGCTTCCTATGAACGAATAGGATGGCAACAAGTCAGAGCAGATGAACCCATATGAACTTTGGAATAACTGGATCTTACACTTCTTCAGTGCCCTGGCTGGGCATAGAGTCCCTGGGCTGGGTGGGGTCCTCCGGAGGGTCAGGCTGCCCCGGGCTGTGGCCAGTGTCATCCACACTCAGGAGGCTGCTGGCTGCCTGGGAGCTGGCACTGTCAGCGCTCCCGGATCGTGAGCGGTAAGGTGGCAGGTCGGCTTGGTTCAGAGACTCGGTGTCAGAAGAGTAGGGTGGTGGAGGGAGGTCATACCAGGCAGGTCTGTGGTGGAGAAAACATGAAGGGGTGTTAAGGGAAAGGAGAGAACTCTTTAAAGCCCAGACAAGACAAGTAATGAGCACCCAACACCACTCCAACTTGATTCTGAGCTGCTGTTTCAAGCAAGGAATGAGATGTCTCAAGTACAAGGGCAATTCAAGGACCAGGAAAGCCAGTGGTTTGAAAGGAGACAAAAGGAGCATGAAAGGTCAGCCTGCTGGGGCTGGTTCACATCCACTGGGCGGTGCTAGGACCACATCCTCTGGGCCGGCCAGTGATGAGGCCGACAGGTGATGCCACAAGCGTGGCTGGGTGATCTCAATCAACCACTTTGCTCCATCAGCTCACAGCCCCGTGGCCAGCTGGATAGCCTGATGTTTTGACTGGGTTTTCACAGAACCACACAGTTGGGGTTTCCTGTGTGGACTTGGGCAGGTGAGAGGTTGTCTTCCCAATCTCTTGTTCTCTGCACAGAAAAGGATAAGGATCCCTTGGTTAAAACACAAAATCATAACCATTTTATTATTTTACCTGCTCTGACTAAAGGTTTACTGGCAGCCAGGTGTCATGCAATTTGTGACATGACACCTGAATCCAGACTTAGGGAAAGCAAAGACCTGGAAGGGCAGCCCCAAGCCAGGAAGTTCCAAAACGCATTTTTATTTTGGATACCTTGGAGGTCACCAAGCAAGGGCAGAGCATGGCTGAATGGGTGGGATTCAGGCCCACCAACTGCTTCAACTGTAAAACCTTTGCTTCAGGCTTCATATGCTGGGGCTTCCTGTGTAATTCCAATGGTGATGAGGGTTCTACTGCTTGAAAAAAATGCCTAGGTGTGCTGTATTTCATCCCTTTCCTTTCATAGGGGAAAGGAAGTCAAGGAACCTAATGATTCATTCAACAAATGACTCCAACCTCTCACACATCCTGGGCACTCAGAGGAGCAGCCCAGATCCAGGCAGTGCCTGCAGGTGTATCAGAAGGGCAGTCCCGGGAAGCAACAAGTGGGCCCAGATGTGGCCTGTAAATGCTCAGACAGGGAATTTAAACCCCAAAGTCTCAGTTTCCTCATCCATGGAATTGAGTCAAGTGTATATATACTCAGCGAGTTATTCAGAGATTCAATGAGAGGATACCCAGGCTGTGTTTCAAAGGGAACTCAGCACAGCTAACAGACTGCTACTGCCTGCCGCAGCAAGACCTAGGAACCCAGGTGTCTGTGCATGTCCCTCTCTCCCAATCTCTCCCAATCTCTCCCCGACACCACGCACCTTTGGTCCAGAAGGGCCTCGGAGTAGGAAGGTGGGGAGCCTACTTCTGAGGCATTCTGCTCAGCCTGGCTGGCCACATACTGGATGCCATTGTTGACGTTGTAGGTCACATTGCAGTGGTGAGGGTGGTCCAGGACGACCAGGCGGGACAACAGCACAGGGTGCTGCAGGCGGTGAACTGGAAGTGTCATGAGGTTGTTTCGTTTCCGCTGGTGGTGCAAGACCAGGGCTAGCAGGGCCACAACCAGCACGAAGATGACGGAGCTGCCAATGATGGCGTAGGTGATGCTGGGGTAGTACACGAGCTGGTTCTCCGAAGTCACAAACACCTGCCCGCTGCCTGGTTCTGAGAAAATCCAGAGAGGACAGCAAAGGGAACTGTTAGCAATTTGGTTCACCAGTGCCATTCAAAATCAGCAAAGGCTCTTCATAGTACTATTCACTACAGCCGAGAAGCAAGAACCATCAGCAGGTGCATGGGCAAACAAAATGCAGTACAGCCATACAACAGAATTGTATTGATCCATGGGAAGTCACAAATAAAGCTGAGCTAACATAAATAACACCTTCAGATGAATAATTCAGTGTCACAAAGTGGCATACGTTCATTCAAATTGTGTAATTATCAACAATATCTTCAGAATTTTCTACTGTTTCCAAATGCTAGTTTTTACCATACCCATTCCTAGTGTTCTCCTTAGCAATTTCTCTAGATTGATAGAAGAAACTGGGAGAGCCCTCTTTGGGAGGAGGGATAGACTTTCATACAGAAAACACATGTGTCCATAGGTTTTTAAAAGGCTCACTTTGGGGCAGCTACTTGAGAATACAGGCGGGAGCCCTTTAAAAGGGGTGGCCAGAGCAGTTCTCATGGCGTGACATGATCTCACACGCCTGGAGGTAGGATCTCCCCAGACCTGCCCCCTCTGGCCTGTGAGAAGCAGAGATCATAGCTGTTGGAGAAATTATGATGTTGCATAATGCACTGGTGCCTCGGTTCATTTTTGCTGTGTGTAAAATGTCATCTTGTATTAATTCATTAACTAGGCCCACTTTCCTTAAGGGCTTAATGAGCCTGCTGGCCAAATTACTAATATCAGAGTTGCCTGAGACCTACGTTCCAAGTGTATAATCCATGGATAATGAATTTCCCATTTATTCTGGCTGTCCCTCAAGCTAATGCCCTCATGCTCTGCTGTCAAACATCTTGAATTCCTGTCCTGTCTCTGCACTTGAACTGCATTAATTCCAGGCACCCCAGGGACCACCTAGACACCACTGTATTTTCAGAAGGGCTGGGGGCTCCCACAGGCACACATGCAGGAGCAGGCTGTATGTTGCTCAGTGTTGGCGATGCTCTCAGCCTCGGTGTCAGCACACCTTCACATCATTGTCATGACAGCTGTCTGGCAGGTGGCAGCAAGTGTCAGCAGGAGGAGAGTTTCTTACTAATTTCACCCAGAAGTGCCATCCAGACTGACTAAGAAATTCAAAACAGCTGAACCGTGGGCTGTGCCACTCCTGCACTGCTGCGGTACTCCTTCCTCCAGTTGTGAGTTAAACATTGTTCAGGATATTATTTCTTCCCCAGAAACAAAATTTGGTGTCACATTTTGCTGACCACATCTTGGGGAAATAGTTATCTGCGTGCATGGCATATATTTGAAGATAGCTAATGGGAGAGGCAGCAGAGTTCATAGTGTAAGTTAAAATTAGCTCACGTGCCTTTTACATTTTAAAAACAGATTTATTTTTTTATGAAAGGCATATTTACAAATAGAGGGAGAGACACAGAGATTTTATATACACTGATTCACTCCTCAAATGGCCACAATTGCCAGAGCTGAGTTGAACTGATCCAAACTCAGGAGCCAGAAGCTTCCTCCAGCCTCCCATAGAGTTACAGGGTCCCAAGGATTTGAGCCATCCTCTGCTGATTTCCCAGGCCATTAGCAGGGATGCTAATACTTATAGCTGGAGGATTGGTTTTCATTGTGGTGGCCCCACCTTTTTTTATTTTTAAAGTTTGAGAGGTATAGAGAAATGCAGATACACACACAGCAACATTTGCTGATGCACTCTCCCAAATGCCCGAAATGGCCAGGTTTGGGTCAGGTGTGTAGCCTGGAGTCAGGAATGCTTCCCAGGACTCCCATGTGAGTGGCTGCAACCCAGTTAGCTCAATGATCACTATTTCCTCCCCGGGTCTGCATTAGCAGAAAACCGAATTCACAGGCCAGAGCTATGTATTCAATCCAAGCTTTTTCTATGAGACAGGGACCTCTGTTTGTTTGTTTGTTTTAACGATTTATTCATGTGCTTGAAAGACAGAGCTGGAGAGGGAGGGAGGGAGAGGGAGAAAGTGCACCTTCCATCTGCTGGTCCACTTCCCAAATGGCTGAAATAGCCGGAGTTTCTTTGGGATCTCCCACATAGACGCAGGGACCCAACCACTGGGACTATCTACTGCCTTCCAAGGCCATCAGGTAGGGAGCTGGACTGGGAGCAGCTGGGACTCAAATTGGCACCCATATGGGATGCTGGCACCATAGACAGCAGCTTAGCCTACTGCACTGTGGCATTGGCTCTGAGACAGGAACTTCTTAACCTCTAGGCCAAACACCCATCCCTGTGGGTATTTTTTGAAACAGTATTTCTTTTGTTAATCTAATAAATACAGAATGGGGAATAATTTTTTAAAATACAAGTATTGGCAGAAACAATGTAACAGCAAAATATATCAGGAACAATATAAATGTCTATCATTTCAACCTGGTTAAATAATGGTGCAATTATAGAATATCAAATCTCTTTTAAAAATTAATGCAGCTCTTCATATAATGATTTAGAGCAATCTGAAAGATACACATAGTGACAAAGTCAAGTTCCATAGAGAATGGGTATGGTTTGGATACGGATTGAGTGTGGCCTCCAAAGCTTCACATATGGAAATTTAATCCCTGCTGTGGGGACTAGGAGGGTGGAGCCCTAACCTGTTTATGACGTGTAGATGTGGGGCCTCGGGAAGGTGACCAGGATTGGTCGGGGTCATCAGGGTACAGCTCCTTCTGACTGCATCCTAGTGGTTTAGTAAGGATGGAGACCAGAGGCTACACCCACACCACACACAGGCTCCCAATTTTCCTGCCATGTGAGGCCCTATATCCTGTGGGGACTCTGCCAACAAGAGAGCTAGTTGTAGCCACTTAACTGTGAACCCCACAACCGTGAGCTAAAGCAATCTCCTTTTTTTCCCTCTTCTATATTATTTTTAATTTTATGATATAATTCCATAGGCTCTGGGATTTCCCCAGCCCTGTCCCCAAATTCCTCTCCCCAATTTATTTCCTCCATATTATTACAATAGTACAGTCCTTCATACGCAGTCATAAGTCCATCATTCTGCTATTTAAGTGTATCGTGACATTGTGGATACAGACAATGGCAGACAGTCCAGCATTCTACTGTCAAGATATATCCAACAGTTTCATTGTGAGTTCTTTAATTTGAAAGTAGAGATATATACTGCATTGTATCCTCACATCTGGATATGATAGTCTCTATTACACAATTACTATACATTCCATAACTGAAAAGCCATACAACAAAATCAACAACAGGAATAAAGTTAAAAAATTCACTACACGATGGAGTTAAGTAACATGCTACTGAATAATCAATGTGTTGATGAAGAAATGAAAAAGAAAATAAAACATCTTCTTGGAGAAAATGATGCCACTATATGATCTATGAGTCAGTGAATTAATAAAGAAAAGAAGCTATTTTGAAGAAATGAAAACAAAAAAATATCAAAACCTATGAGTTGCAGTTAAAGTATTGAAAGGGCTATTGATCTTATAATTGCATGAAGGTTGCCTTATGTCAGAGAACATACCGCATTTCTCCTTTTGCTACTGACCTATTTCACTGAGCATTATGTTTTCTAGTTGGGACCACTTGGTTGCAATTGGTAGAATTTCATTCTTCTGAACAGTTGAGTAGTATTCCACGGAGTAGATACACCGTTTCTTTTTCTTAAAGCTTTACTTTTATTGGAAGGGCAGATTCACAGAAAGGAGGGACAGAAAGAAAGATCTTCTCTCTACTGGTTCACTCCCCAAGTGGCCACAATTGCCACAGCTGAGTTGATCTGAAGCCAGGAGCTTCTTCTAGGTCTCCCATGCAGGTGCAGGGTCCCAAGGCTTTTGTCCATCCTTAACTGCTTTCCCAGGCCACAAGCAGGGAGCTGGACGGGAAGTGAAGCAGCTGGGATACAAACTGGTGCCCATAAAGGATCCTGGCACATGCAAGGTGAGGACTTTAGCCATTAGGCTACCACACTGGGCCCACGACAGTTTCTTTATCTACTCCTTGGATGAGCATCTGGGTTGTTTCCATGCCTTTGGTATTGTAGATGGTGGTGCTATAAATATAGGATTTCTCATGTGCAGATCTCATTTCTTTCAGATATATTTCTGGGAGCAGGATAGCTGGGTCATAGAACAGGTTTATTTGCACTCTCTATACTGACTTCCATAGTGGTTGTACTAGCCTACACTCCCACCAGGAGCGAAGGAGGGTGCCTTTCTCCCCACATCCATGTCAGCAGGTGTTGTTAGTAGAGTTCTGAGTAGACCAATCCCACTGGAGTTAGGTGGAATTTCAATATGGTTTTCATTTTTATCTCCCTGACAGCTAAGGGAGCCTGAACACCTTTTTATATGTCTATTAGCCACTTGAATTTGTTCTTTTGAAAAATGTTTCTTCATTTATTTCACTGATTTCTTCACAGGATTGTTTGTTTTTGCTGTCACTGGGTTTCTGAAGCTCTTTGTACATCCTGGATATTAGACCCCTATCACTTGTGTAGTGTGCAAAGATTTTCTCCCATTCTGTTGCTTGCTTCTTCACTTTGTTGATAGTTTCCTTTGCTGTACAGAAGCTTTTTAGTTTGATGTAGCCCCATTTGTTTATTTTGGCTTTGACTTCTTGTGATTTGGCGACTTTTTAGAGAAGTTTTTCCCCATGCCTGTATCTTGGAGAGTGCTTCCTAGGTTTTCCCCTAATAGTTTGATGGTTTGTTTCTTGGTGCAGATTTAGGTCCTTGGTCCATTTAGAGCTGATTTTTAAAGCAATCTCTTTGCTTTATGAACCTTCAGGTATTTTGTTATAGTAATGCAAAATGAATGGGTGTAGGGATGCATTAATTTCAGGAAAGACAAGAAATGGCCATACTGAAGCTTCTCTTGGAAGAGGAGCAGGTGCTGGTGGGGAGACGTGAGAGGGAGCCCAGTGTCACCGTTCACTCTTTTCCCTGTGCTGCCATTTGTACTCTGTTACCTCCTC